AGCTAGAGTGACCAGGGACGAGTCATTGATCCTCAGGAGAGGCGATTGCTGTGTCCACTCACTCGTCTCATCCCAACAATATGGTAATGAAACACTTGTCCACATTACCCCCTGACAAAGTTAAGTGAGTTTAGGGCGTATCGCTATAACACCTGACGAGGGTAATTAATGTACCTGGGAGGACAAACTCCTCATCATCAAAATAAAACGTGTGAGTGTTCCTGAGACAGTGTTCAGCTTAACATAATGGCGGAGACCTGGAACAATATACAGGAGTAATAACAGTAGTGTCTACAGAGCTCCAGCTTGACATCTTTGATACAGAATTTCTTTTAACGAGGATGTCTCTATCAGTGACTATCCTAAACTCCTCACTGATATAAGCGTAATCACTTATGTCATCAGTTTGTTGTTATTTAAATAAAACTCTCAACAACACACAAGGAAAAGTCGTCAAGCTGAGCTACATCTCAGGTTATGTCTTTAACACTGGAAGTCTCTGGTGGGATGATCACACACTCCTGTTTTGACTGTCATAAACAATATCATGTTGAACCGTAAATACTTCACTCTATTACTCAGCCGCTGTAGAGGCAATAAACAGCACCATGGCATCACTACAGCCTAAGTTATTAACACGCCAAATTCTAGTGAAGATCTGGCTCACTTGGTCAGTATGAACATCGTAAGGCAAGACGATTCACACTTACGAGTAAATTACCTCTGATACTATTACCTCACTGCACACTAACATACTTACTGAATCTACTGAACTATTAAGAGATTTAAAAAGTCAGTCGACAATATTCTGTCCATCAATTTCACAAAATACTCTGCAATCAATTAAGAGTCAATTACCTTCTTAGCATCTAGAAACAAAGGTAGACTGAGGAGTTTGTCTTATTATAATGATCTACAAGTTCCTGGGAAGATAAGGATGGATATATCAGCTCTTAAGACGCACTCTGAATCCAAACATTATTTGTGTGGAGGAATCACTTCAGATATTAGACAATGTTGCGGTTACTTCAGGCAAAGTCCTGTATTTGTTCTTAAGAAAAGTCATTATGCATACCAATACACGCTTAATTGGTATGAACTGATGGATGATTAACGTATTAATATTATCAACAGAAGTGAGAGGCTGACTGAAGTAAAGTTATTAGCTTCGTCGAGTATTCCTAAACGCCCTGTCACCATCTGTCAGTGAGGCTTCTTGGTGGATTCTTAACCTGTGTGGGCCATTAATATAATTTAGGGAATTTAAGGCGTCCGAGGAAGTGTTACCAACATAGATCACCAATATCTGCCTCCTTCACTGTACCGTCAACCCTTAAGGCGAGTGTCTCTTGAGTTGGACACATAGAAATAGATTCCTTCCATAACTGATGTGAGTCACCACCAGGTACTTTAGCTGCCACCTCTCAGTGTTCTTCTGCAGCTCGTGTGCCTCACAGCTCCAACTTAAGACTCTTGTCTGCCCAACATGGCCGGCCATGAACTCAACGTTATAAGAGGGATTCCCGCGATGCATTATGGCCATCAACAACAAATTCACGCCAGCCACAAGGGCCTGACGCTGCTTACTTTTCACTTAACAAATACTTCTCGCCCCACACCACACATTCTCTTAGGTACTTGTGATGATGGAGCCAACTGTCACGTACATGATTAGTTGGGTGTAAGTGCTTTGTGCTATACATGTGGTTCAGTACATGTGTAAATATATGGATGAATGTCTGCGTGTGTGTGTGTGTAGTGGTGGAGCCATTGTACGTACAAACATATTTAGATACTGATGATCTTCTGTTCTAAAAATATTATAATCCGGAAAGTAATTAAAGATCGATCTATAAATTACCTTAAATATAGAATTAAACTTTGCAGGACGACACCTTGAAGCAGTACAAGACCCTGATCCTTCAGTGACACAAACAGGCCAGTATACCTCACGGGGTCCAGCAGGAGACTGACACAAAAGAATTATGTGACCTTACACTATGCGGCGCGCGGTGTACAGTTCTTCACTTAGCTTATTGTCACGTTAATATATTCAGCACTTATAGTCTTATTTTCTAACTCATTTCAGTTAGGTTAGACGCTGACAGCCAAGGTATAGATCAGTGAATAACCTAAGACTTTTACTACCCAGACGTAAAGAAAGTTCCACCTCAGTCCTGGACGCTATACGTGAGAAGTTGATGGACGAAAGATTTGACGTACGGATATAAAATGTATATTATTTTGTATTCGTTTTTTACAGCAACGAGAGATACAGTTAATGGTAATCAACTGTAACTGAACGATGGCCAATAATAATGATATATAACTCTTCTCCTTCCTCCTCTGTACCTCCTCCTCCTCTGTACCTCCTCTTCCTCCTTCACCTCTCCTTCATTACCCATCTATCCCTTCCTCTACGCCTCTTCATTTTTCTTCCCTCGTTTAATCTCTACCCCCCCTCCACACACTGCTCCCCCTCCACACACCTGCCCTCCCCTCCACACTGCTCCTCCACCACACACACACACTGCTCCCCCACACACTGCCTCCACACACACACTGCCCCCCCCTCCACACACTGCCCTCCACACACACACTGCTCCCCCCACACACACTGCTCCCCACACCAGCTCCACACCTCCCCCTCTCCACACGTCACATGTACACCACTTCATATCTTATTTACACTACCACCTGGGTGGAGTGGGTAGTGGAGGAGTGGAGGGGCGTTAGAGGGATGGAGGGGTGTGGAAGGGGTGGAGGGCAGTGGAGGGCAGTGGAGAGGGGAAGGGTGGGTGCGTTGGTAGGTAGGTGGATGGGTGGGGAGAAAAAGTGAAGGAAAGAGAAGAAGGACTGAGTAGAGAGAAGTAGAAGGAGAGAGGGGGGGGAGGGAGGGAGGGAGGGGGAGGGAGGGAGGGAGGAGGAGGAGGGAGGGAGGGGAAGGGAGGGAGGGGAGGAGGAGGAGGGAGGGGGAGGAAGGAGGGGGATGGAAGGAAGGAGGGAGGGGAGGGAGGGGGGAGGGGATTGGGAGGAGGGGGATGGAAGGAGGAGGAGGATGGAATGCAGTGAGGAAGCAAAAGAGGGAGGAAGGAAAATAAGAATAATTCGATTAATCTTCAATATGATAAATAAATAATCCTGTCCTTAAGGAAGACAAAATAAACACACTACTATTAACATTATATAAGAGAATGGAAAGAAAACTGAACTTAAAATAGAAAACGAGAATCAAAGAGGCAATGGGAAACTACAACAAACACCTTGGCCAGATATTTTAACACTAATAACCTTGACCTATGACCCTGTGACCCCCCCTCACTACACCTCTCTGACTCTCCATAATCTCCCATCTTCCTTCGCCATTCTTGCACTCTCTTCAACCATCCTCATTTTACCATACCTCTCCCTTTTCCTTTCTTCGCCTTTCCATCCCTTCTTCTTTCCCTTTCACCCCCCGGCCGCCATACCGGGAGGAAGGGGAGGGAGGGAGGCCATATGTTTTAACCAGGCAGTGAAAGAGGGTGTGCCCGAGGCTCCTGTGAGACTAAACTGTAGTAATCTGCCATCTGACACACACATACACACACACACACACACACGCGCGCGTTTCCACAGTACGCTTCGTCTGGCATCACATCACAGCTATCGTGCTTATGCTGGGTCATGTCTTTATCATCACTGACAACTGTGATGGTCAGCTGAGGATGGAAGTGGTGTTGACAGGTGATGGATAAGTGGCACTACACTCAGTTTATTTCACCTGATGATTAAACACCCAAACATTATATGAGGTTAGGTTAGGTTAGTGTTAGGTTGTTTAATCATTAGGTTAGGTTAGTTAGGTTAGTGTTAGGGTGTTTAATCATTAGGTTAGGTTAGGTAAGTGATTGGGTATTTTATCATCAGGTAAAAATAAGCTGGCATGTCTAATCTTCAGGTAATCTGAAAAGACTAACATAAGAAGTTTTGATAACGTTAACCTAACCTTCTTATCCGACCTGAAAACCCTTTCATCCAACCATAATCCCTCATATACCTACCTTAATCCCTAATATCCAACCTTAAACCCACATATCCAGCCTTAAACCCTCTTATCCAACCTTAAACCCTCTTATCCAACCTTAAACCCTCATATCCAACCATAAAACAGTTTTATCCTACCTTAAAACACCTCCCAATCCTAAAGGGTCCCTATGAGAGTATGAAACCCTTTATCCAACCCTCAAACCTGCTAAGACACGATCGATTATCCTGAGGAGAAAAATATGGCCTTCAGGTATGGCGTGACTTCCCCAGAGAGTTGTGTTCACTTAGCACAGGTATAATCAGCACAGGTATACTCAGCGCAGGTATACTCAGCGCAGGCCAGCACAGGTATAATCAGCACAGGCTAGCACAGGTATACTAAACACAGGTATACTCAGCACAGGTATAATCAGCACAGGACAGCACAGGTATGGAACTTTCTTTATACCGTTTAAGTACCATAACCAACCGTATAAGAAAGAGAGAGAGAGAGAGAGACACCCATCAGTAACTCACTACCACCAACAGTCCCCCACCACAGAGTGTAGTAGTGGTAGGTGGTGGTAGTAGTGGTAGGTGTAAGTACAGGATGTAGTAATAGTAAGTTTTCATATCTCACTTAAGTTTTCTTGGTCACTCGTTATATATTGATCAAGTTATACCTTTGTGTCTGTCAGCCTTATACTGTTTATAAGTTTATATTAAGTGAACAAAAATCTATTGAACTTTTTATATAGTTTTCTGATGTAAATTATTGTTCTTCTTTCGACAGTAATAGTTCCATCGTGTTCCAATAGCAAGTGTGCCGTCTTATTTTTTTCTTCACAAACTGTATGTGTTAGTCATCAGTTGGCAGCGTCACCAGGGGGAAAAGGAGAGCTGTGAGGAGACGCCACAATACGGATATAGTATGCAGCGGTTTAATACATAAATTTTATTATAAAAATACAACAAATAATTATTACCAACAAATAAATTATTAATATTCTTTGGCTTGGGGACTACAGGGAGAGTTAGCATCAAGAGTTATATATGTTACAGGAGAATACAGTATTGTTACCATTATAGGACATGTATTATATCATTATCTATCACTGTTAATGGATGAGGTACAGTGTCATGACCCTCACTGTATTAACAATCACAAGACTATAAGGTTCGGTGACAAATGGAAGGTTAGTAGAGGAATGGACGGGATGAAGATGGACACTAAAATGACTGGAGACTCCCTGGAAGGTGTGATGGACGATGGATGGTTCTTGTAACTGGAGAAATATTTGGACATGTTTTGATTGTACGGAACCTTGAGAGGATCTGACTGGAGTTTGTTAAAAATTTTACTTCTGTGGTTTTTAAAGACTTTAATGAACTACTCCAGAAATGTGACCCTCGTAGCACTTGAGATTTCACTGGAAGGTTCAATAGTAATTGTAAGAGGCGGCTGGAGGCTCTGGTGCAGAGGATCCTTCGTCAGTTTCTCGTGTGATCCTATTGTAGATGTTGACTGAAGTGCTAGAGAGGGTTCCTGAAGGTGGTGTAGCAGCCACTGAGGTGATGGAGTCCCTCACACACACACACGACGACCACTTGTCCGATACTGCAATAAGGAAAAATAAAATTAGAAAAAGCTGTTTACTGCATCACACCTTGACAGTCTGCGGCTACGTACTTGTTCAGTCCTTGTGTACAATATTACTAGTTAGCGCTAAAACAACTGTATTAATTAAGTAACATATATTTACCTTTTATAATTAGAATATCCCAGCTGTCAGGTGTGGGCGTTGTGTTGTGGTGTGGGTACTGGTGGGGGAGGTACGTTACGGGTGTGAGCTGTGTGGGGCGGCGGGTGGACGGGTGTGGGCCGCCCTGGGCGTCTCCATTTGGACCTCGTCGCCCGGGTGAGGTGGAGGGTAGGAAGTGAAATAGTGGAGGAATTAGCTGGGTCTACCGCCCACCACGGTGACGGGGCGGTGGAGGGAGTGTCGCCGACCAGCGTCGCCCATCTGGGCCAGCAAGGAGTTTCTGTAGGCATCGTAGTGGGCGGTGGACGAGAGGCCACCCAGACCCATTAGCAGGTTCCTGGGCTGGGCGCTGGGATGAGCGTCTGATAGTAAGTGTTCCACGCTGAAGGAGGTGGGCGGCTGCTGGGGAGGTGGGCTGAGAGCGGTGGGCTTGGGTAAGCCAGTGGGTGGTGGGTGCCCGGCAGGAGGTCCAGGAGGGGCCATGTGGGAGGTGGGTAACATCCCGTGATAATATGTGGGTGGATAACTCCGGTAAAGTGCTGCTGCCGCAGCAGCGGCGGACGCTTGCTGGTAAAGTGTAGTCGAGGCTAAACCACTAGATAGCGCCCCTGGGAGGGCCACCAAGGGGCCTCCCAAGCCTGCGGCGGCGGCGGCTGCTGCGGCGTAGGGCGCCAGACCCAAGGGGGAGTAACACCCGAAGCGACCAAGGAGTGACTGCTTGAAGGCTGCCAGGCGGTTTCTTGAGGCTGTAGTAGACCGGCGCCGTAACTTACCGGTGGTGCTGCCTATAAACACTTCTTCGGCCGAGGGGTCAAGCATCCAGTAGTTGCCCTTGCCGGGGTCATCATAGTGGCGCGGTACCTTAACAAAACACTTATTAAGACTCAGGTTGTGACGGATAGAGTTCTGCCAACCTTGTTTGTTCTCCCGGTAATACGGGAAGTTCTTCATGATAAACTCGTAGATGCCGCTCAGAGTTAGTCGCTTCTCCGGCGAGGACCTGATGGCCATCATGATGAGGGCGTTGTAGCTGAAGTGAGGTTTCTCGTGCTTCTTTTTGTCGTCTCCTTCCTCCTTCTTCGCCTCTTTCTCGTCCTTGTCGTGTTGTTCCTCGACCTCGGAGTCAGACATGATCCCGGCCAAGGGACTGGCGGCGCCTGTCACGTCAATATCCTCCTCATCATCTTCCACGGCTGCTGTCATTTCAAAATCCTGAAGACAGAGATCGTCGTCCTTCGTCGGCTGTTCTGGTGTACCCTCGGGAACAGCGTTGAGGACGGCCTCTGACAGTAGGGAGCTGATGGAGAAGGAGTGCTTGAGGGGCGTGCGGTCCATGTTGCTGCTACTGCTGCTGCCGTACGTGTTGGCACAACCCAAATTCACCATACTAGCAAACCACAAACAAGTGTCAAATAATCAGAGTGGATAAGTACCGCGTATTATGGTTTCAGATTTTTTTACACGTCTCATCTGAGACCGCACACAACCTTACTGAGCTTAACACGGAACTGATGTCTTCTACCTGTCCGCTCCACATTTTACTTTAGTTTACTCCTCCCACTTCTAACAGCGAACACCAATCAAAGAGCTACCAGTCGTTAGGCTCCACCTCACCGCTCAGCTGCCTTCTGATTGGTGCCGAGAATTTTTAAGGCGGAGTTTCGCTCCGGTGGTAAGATCTTGCCTAATGCGAGATACTCCATGTATACAACACTGTAACACATAACTACACGAATACAAACCATTTGTAAACATCCAAACGAAGATGATCACTTCACTGCTCTCAACATGACAAGATTAATAAGAGAACCAAACGACTAGATCAACCTCGGCAATTAACAAAGCTTTCAAATATCACAAATGGCAACTCTTGCAGGCTAGTCGTCAAATACCTTTTCTTTCCAGGTGAAAATAGCGAAGAAAGGTATTTTCACACCTCTCCCACGACCTGTCACGTCTGGCCTGGCGGATTATTGAACAAAGGCGCCGACCTGCTGGAAACCACACACAGCCGACCCACCTATGGTAGTGAACAATTTAATTTAGCGCGTCCGGTGGTTGTGGTGATGAGGCACTGGTGATGAGGTCCAAGTTCTGGTGAGAGTTGGTGATGGTCTGGTGATGATGCGGTGGTGGTGAGGTCTGCTGCAGATGTGGTGGTACTAATGAAGGGTGATAGTTGTCTGATGGTGGTGATGGATGTGTGGTGGGTGGTGAGGGGTGGGTGGTGAGGGATGGTGGTGGGTGGTGAGGGGTGGTGGTGGTGAGGGCTGGTAGTGGTGAGTTGTGGTGAGGAATGGTGGTGGTGGTGTGGACTGGTAGTGGTGAATGGTAAGGGATGGTGGTGGTGATGGGTAAGTGGGTGCTGGCATGGGCTGCAGGGTGATGTGAACTCGGGGGAAATAATGTAAATCAGTCAAGTTAGTAAGGGAGAAGTGTGTGTTGCTAGCGATGAGTGACACACACACACACGCAGCGTCTTCGAGTGCTAACACAACAATCATACTTCCTAAGTTCTCGGGCTGTTTTTACCAAGCCTCTGAGGTTTTGTATCTCTCAGGGGACTCAGTTTTTAATTTCATTCACCCATCCCAGTCTCTGCCTTCCCCTGGCCCTCCTACCCTCAACTTTACCCATTAATATTTGTCATTATTCCCTCATCCTTAATTATATGACCAAAGTATCTGATTTTCCTTATTTCTCTTGAAGTTTTTGTTAATCTTAGTAGTTCTTCATTTGTTTTCCTGTCATTGTTACTTATTCTTAACATTCGCCTATAACACCATATTACAAAGGCCTCCAACCTCTTTCTGGTGTCTGCTGATAGTGTCCACGCTTCTGACCCGTACCTCAGTCCTGACCTCTCAGCACTGCAGACTTTTTCTCAGATTGTAGTTATTGTTCGTTTTTATTGGGTCTTTTAGATCATTAAATGCTATAATTGATTGACCTAATCTTGTCTTAATTTCTTCCGTACATCTATCACCATAGCTAATGTTACTACCCAATTACACACTTTTCCCTGTTCTTTCTCTCTCTCGCTGTTTAACCTTAATTAGTACCTGAATCATTACTGGCAATTACACAGAGGCAACCACCACAACAGTCACCCATTGATTTGACAATTTAAATTACTTAAAAAAAAAAAGTATGAATTTGGCCAACTTGTTTTTCATGACCAATAATCCAAGCGGCTTACGACCCAGACCACAGACCACATCCACTTCTACTCGCTCTCGCCATCCACACCAAAATACCCGCTAAATAAACACATATTTAACCGTATACCTTCGCTAGCTGCAACTATCATCCGCACTAGTACCGGCAAACCCCTCCCCTCCCTTCAGGAACCAATCATCACCTCCAGACCCCATCATCTGCTAACATCTCTACAAATGACCTTTTAATAGGAAGGGACCTACGGAAGACAGGCCTGGATTAGCACCTGGGAAGCCACCGTCAGCCGCCCGACACTGCCACCATCGACACAATCTATCACTACTGCCCCATAACAAGATACAGCCGGGTAGTGGACACCTCAAATGATGTTTTAATCGACGAAGCGACGGAGCTGCGGCCAGACGGGGATTAGCACCTGGTTGTGGCCGGGACCAAGTGAGGCTGGCGGCCATGACGGTGGTAGAAACATCCAGGGTGGAGGTAAAAGGTTCGCTTAACCAGATTTAAATATCTCGTGAGTGGTTACTGAATGGTTTATGGTGTACGGAGGTAGGGAGGGAACGGGGGAAGGGAGGGGAGGGGAGGGAAGGGGGAGAGGGTAGGAGGATACAATACTGACAAGTTTTATCCGGAAGACTCGGGGACGATCTTCGTGTTAGGGAGTGTGGGGAGACTTGGCTGATGTGTTTATTGCCACCAGCCGGAGATGCTCCTCACCTTCCCTCCACTGACAAATGACTACCTCACCTTACTGTGTCAGGTCCCCTTAACTCCACTGGTCTCGGTGTTACCTTGATCATCACTGTGATTCTGGATGTATGGATGTTTCTCTCTGGCGGCCATAATGAAACTCGACCGTAACTACATGTGTTCCCTTCGTCAAATTTTAAAGGAATCGTCATTTTTAAACGGTAGAACACTGGTGTACTGCGGTAAGGGAGCAAATTGGCCATCGCAACACAACGCCACGTAGGTCTTAGGATGTTTCGAGTCAACAAAACAACACCGTCGCCAGTTAATGTGTTAAGAAGTGGCCCCCAGATGTCCACTAAGCCTTGTATTTACTACGAAACATAATACTACTTTTTAAAAAAATTATTTCTATCTAAAACATATCAAGAGATTCAGCTTCCTAAATGCTCGTCCATGTAAATATCAGTAATAATGTACAATATACACCCTCAACTTTCTGACCTAATAAAGTTTCAATATCAATATTCAAATGACACACTGCCCCTTATATCGAGAAATAATTAAACCAGTACTACAGTGTGTACAAACTTCACAAATTATCCAGGGAAACTTTATGTAATGAGATACTTTCCGATGAGGAAAAATTTTGCCCCAAGACATGACGAAACGACACTAAAAAATGGCCTAAACTCTCCTTCCAACTTTAACTGTGTTGTTTTATCCTGGGAGCAATGAGTCGAGTTTAATAACAAGAGTTGGGATAAACTACCGAGCATACATCAGCTGCTCCCCACAGCCAGGACCCTAACCTAACCCAGCACTTCACCCTGTACATATAGCATTAGGATAGTTAATAATCTTCAGGTGAAATAAGCTAGATTGGGCGAATGTTAAGGTGGTCTTAAGTATATATGTTCAAAACACCAAAAAATACCAAATTAATTAGTTACATAAAGTGCCATAAATAGTTGCTAGTGGAGTAAATTTTCACCACCGGCCGAATTACTCCCACCAACACCTCCCTACTTTCTATTTTTTCTGTATTTACTTTTTTTATTTAAATATCTTTCAGATATTTTAGCGGCTAGTCTACTGTAATGATGTAATATGTATTTTAAAATCTAAAATTACAGCCAATAGACGGTGGTAAACACTGAGGTATACTGTATAAACAAAAGAGCAGTCAGTGGCGCGCGGTATACAGAATCAAGATTAAAAATACGCTTTAGCAAACTGAAATATAAGTAAAATATTTTATAATTTACGTTATGTGAAATTATATATACAAATGATTTTCGTAAAGTGAGGGAAAACACTAGTATGGTAAGTTTACATCAATAGATTAACACTGTACTCACCAGAGATGGCAGAAAATATAGTGTTTCTTTGTTTGCACCACCAACTCGCGCCCATGTTCCGTTGACCTTCATCTTCCACCTAAAGACTTGACAATAACTCCACTTTATCCACCTCTGTATTTAATTTATTCAAGCAGCACTTACCGAGGTTCACACTTGAGTACATTCCCTAGTTTCATTATTATTAGTACGTGTTTTTTTACCGTAGGTCCACGAGGCAGCTGGTAAGTGACTCCTGCACAAGTCCACAGCGGCAAGACTGTTCGATGTTCACCAGGCGAGTGGCAGGTGGTGTGCGTTCATGAGCGCTGACTAAATTAATTGAATCGAGTTCTATTTTTTATTATTTTATTTTCAAAACAACAGTGAAATGAATCTGTGAATTTTGAATTGTATTTTTCCGTAATTCGTGAGGATGTAAAGAATTACCTTAAATACGGCCAACTGTCTCGCCTTGAATGATTCATCTAGCTTAGTCCCGCCTGGTCATGTAGCTCTTTTGAACTCACTCAGTTTTACTTAGACTAGCCTGATCTAGCCTCCCTGGCCATGTGTTGTTATAACTGAACACTTAACAAAGGATATCTGCGTTATAAGAATATACTGCTGACCAAAACATTAGTTATGACCCTAAAACCCTGTGCTAAGACTCAAAGATTGTTAGGCTGCAGACTCAAACACCGCATTAGTGAGCCTCATTTGGCGTGAGGCTCTACAAAAGTGATCGACTAACCGTGACTTTTGTTTTTATATATTTTTTCGTCGTTTTGGGACGATTGGGAATTATTGCGAAGCCGGTAAAAGATTAGAATTATCCGGAAGAGGCGGTGAGGGTGGCGGAGCTGTGAATAATGTGTGGGTGGTGGTGGGGGCATTTGTGAGGGCTCCTAAGACATCAACTATGACACTCACCACACACACATACACACATACACTATATAATTGATGTTTATAAGCTCAGGTATGTTGATTATTTACATTACAGTATATCGAGCCAAATGTTTCCCTGTGTCTGGCCTGTGGGTGAAGGTGGTGGTGGAAGTGACTCACCGATGTGTCAACAAATACGTGAAGAGTAACTGCAGGTGGCAGGTTCGCAATCGTTTGTGGTTGGTGTTGGTGGTGTGGGGGCAAAGAAGACCCAGCGTGTGTCAAGCTATCACACCTCCTGGGGCTTCTCCTCTGACGGCCCGGAGGGAAGGGGGAAGGTGCCGTAGGGTGAGATGAGGAAACGAAGGAGTAACAGTTAAGAGAGGAGATAAAATA